TTAATATTTATTTATTTATTGAGATTTAGCCCAAAATTTAATCCAGTGTATTATTATTATTATTTAATTACATTATAATTACCTATTAGAGTTGAACAATCTTAATAAAGAAGAAATTCTTCCTCGTATGTAGATATATATAATTTCCTCAATGATATAATATTTTGCTACATCTAAAAATATCCCTCAAGTGATAAATCATCTTATCGCAAATCATCAATGCTTTGAATTAAATTAGAATCTATAATTAGTTTGAAAGATAAAAAAGATGATAATTCTCGCTATATGAATGAAACTAATCTTTTTTAATCTCCTACTTTTCTTCTTTTATTCTTTTTTCATGACAATTAGAGACATTTTTTATTCGCACTTTTGAAAAAAAGCAAATCACAAAATTATTTTTTGCACTAAATTAAATTTTGAAAAAAAACTATTTTTTTCCTTCATTCTTTTTTGTATGACAATTAGAGAAATTTTTACTGAGAAAGGATATATAATCCAAGATTATTTTTTGCACTAAATTAAATTTTGAAGTAAAAAACTATCTTCTTATTTCATTCTTTTTTTATTAATATATAGAGTATATAATTATAGTTTTATTCTAATATTTAAAAGAAACAAATCTCAAGATTATTTTTTTCACTAATTTATTAAATTTTCGAGTAAAAAATATTTTTTTCATTCTTTGTTTATTTATTGATAGTTACAGTTGACAATTTGAATTTAACTCACACTTTGAAAAGAAGCAAATTACAAAATTTTTGTTTTGCACTAATTAATTAAGTTTATTTTTTGCACTAAATTAAATTTTGAAGTAAAAAACTATTTTTTTCTGTCATTCTTTTTTTATTGATAATTATGTTGATAATTAGAAATTTACTTAAGCATTTAAAAGAAATAAATCACAAGATTATTTTTTGCACTTAATTAAATTTTGAAATAAAAAACTACTTTTTTTCTTTCATTTTTTTATTGATAATATTACTAGAGTTGATAATTAGAGTTTTACTCAAATATTTAAAAGAAACGAATCTCAAGATTATTTTTTGCACTAATTAATTAAATTTGGGATTAAAAAAAAGAAAAAAAGAATCGAAGACACACACGTGCGTGAGACATTTGCTTTGTTTCGTTAGCACATAAATCAGAACAAAGCACATGCTACGAAAAATTAATAAAGTTTCAGATTTATATTCCAATGGAAATATTTTCGCGAGTTTGACACTATTTTTCATTGTTCATCTTCATTGTTTTTCACCATTATCATTTTACCTATACTTCTGTTTTAGATTTACTTTTATTTTAGTTTTTTAAATTCAAAATAATTCAGGGAAAAGTATTATTATTTCCGCTTAATTATTCTTTTTTGTCATTTTTCTCTTTTATATTTTGTCAAGCTATTTATTTTATATAATTTATTTACATATATTTTTTACAGAAATTAAAAAATTTATATTCTGTTATTATTATATTATTCTGTTAATGAAATTTAGTTGCAATGAAAATGTTTGAAAATTCGTTTTCTGATTTGTTTGAAAATATATAGTTTTATCTGAAAAAGTTTAAAGACGCAGTAATTTCATTTTTTTAAATATATACAAGAATAATATGTAAATTGAATGAAACGAGAATTTAGTTACAGATGAGTGAATTTTTAATTATGGGAACGTAATACAGTATTGAGTGTCCTCCTTTTTTTATATACGAGCATTTGTCAACAGTTGACTTGCGTTCTGGATGTAATTATACGTAACACATGATGCTTTTAACAACTAATTTTATTGTCTTTTATCATAAACATTACGCCCTCTTTTTAGTAATTATGCACCAGTGAATAAAATCTCAGTTTCATTTTCAAATATTAATGCGTAATTGAAAAATATTTGCAAAAATTTTTTGCAATGAAAGAAATAATTAATTTTTACCATTTAAAATTTATCATATTATTTATTAACTTTTCAAAAAAATATAAATTATAACAAATAATTATAAATATAATTTTTTTTCAAGTTTAATGATAAAAAAAATTAATAATTATTATATTAATCATAATTTGCTTATTTACAAAAATCAACTGAACAGGCACTTTCGTTTTCGTAAATAAGTAATTAGTATCAAACATAATTAATACTAATAATAATTAATAATAAAAATAATAAATAATAATAATTAATGATAAAAACTAAACTAATATATTTCTAAAATGATATTTTTCTTTCGTTGGATTAATTTTTTTCTCTCGTAATAATACGATAAATATTAATATTATCTGAAAATTGTAAAAAAAATATTTTAACATTTCAAAACGATAATATATTTGCTTTATGATTTTCATTTTCGGTTTTCTACAAAGAAAAAAGGGTGATTTCCGTTTCAGTAGATTCATCTCTTATGCAATTTTTTTTCTCCTTTTGTGTAACGATATCAAAAGGGGCTTTCACTTGATTTGAGAGAATATTATACTCAATAGAAAAGTTTCCCTTCAAAAATTATCTCTTTTGATTTAAAAAAAATGTGGGCAGTAGAGAAATTATAAAAAAGAATTTTTTTAAAATTCTTGATTATTAATTATTCGTTAAATTATTCATCTATTTTAAAATTTAGCAGACAATTATACTTTTTGAGATCTTTTTCACAATTTTTTTTTTTTTTGAATATATAGCACAAATTTCATGCAATTTCATGCAATCGATAAAAGGTGTATTCAAAAGAAATTTAAAGAAAAGAATAAAGAAATTAAACAAAAATTTCCTATTCGATATGCAATAAATTTTTGAGGCCCTTCGTCTATTTATAATTTTCTTTCTATTTATATATAAAAAATAAATTTTCTTCTTAAAATTTATTTTTATACATTTATAAAAGAAGCCAAAAAATTCTTGAAATAAAATTCTTTTAAATCACTTGATAAAACGAATAGGTCGTAGAAAATCATGATTCTAAGGTCAAGGGAGGCGCAGTAGTGCGAGGCAAAATACTCTCAAGTAGAAAGAATTATTGTTATTGCACAACACTTATCAAACCGACCTGTTCAACTCAATCTAAATTTCCAAAATTTTAATCCCAAACAGTGGGTAAAAATAACTTTCTGTATTTCTTTTTTCCCCATTTTATTTAAAATGCAAAATTCAAGATTTTGTTTTGCAAAATTAAATTTTTTGTATGAAAAATACATTGTAATGTAATGTTTTTTTAATAAAAATAAAATTTGTCCAAATAATTTTATATTTTACGTCAATTTTTAAAGATTTTGTAAGTCAAATCCGTTTAAAGGCCTCGTAAAATTAATTTGACAAAAATAAAATTAAAAAAAAAATTAAATTATTTTTTAATAACTGTAAACATTTTTTTCAATGTAAAAATAAAAATCGATTTCTTTCGTTGCAAAAAAGAAAGCAAAAATATTCAAACATTTATGCAATATGTATATAATTTTGAAATCGAATTTTTCTCTCTAATGAAATAAACATTAAAATAGATTTAAAAACTATTTCGGAATAATATTCCGGTTTTTTTTACGATTAGGAATATTTGATCAGTTTGCTTGTTTGAATTCATTATCGAGAAGAGGCCTCATTTTAATATTTGGTAGGGCAAGGACCGATTTACGATTAAAAAAAAATCTTTCTTTAAATTTAATATTTATTCCTTAAAAATTTGTTTTTTAATTCAAAAATTTTTTTTATTTCTTTTCCTAAACAGAAGCTCGGTAGTTAGTTAAACAAATAGGAAGATAAAATATTGGGAGAAAGACAAAAACCAATGGCGCCATGGGATTTTTTTCTTTCCTTGAACTTATATCGTGTATAAAGAGAGAGGGGGTGGGGGAAGGGGATTTACTCGATATTACATTTTCAAATATATCTAAACTTAAATTTCCTTTCTCTTTTTTTCCTCTGATTTCAGGATTTAGAAAGAAGCGAGCGTTATAAGGTGGCACGCGTCGAAGGAGAAGTGGCAAAAAAAGCCGAAGGTGGGAGATGCTGGACCAATATTCGGTGTGTGGGATGCTGAATTTCACGTGTGTCGGAGTTTCTTTCGAATTCGCGCCTTGTATTGGTTTTAGTGAAACGTACCAAGAGATCGCGGCAAGCAGATCCTTATACCCACCGCACTTGGTCGCTCTCTTCAGTCTTGTTTCGCATCAATGCAAACACTCTTTGCCGAGAATGTCGCATTGATCTCATCTCCCGTTTTACTCCCCGAAAAAAAATCAATTCAAAACAGTGTTTTAAATTTAAAAAAAGAAATTTGAAATGAAGAAAAAAGAAAAAGGAACAAAAAATGGAAGTTGAATTAAAGTAAGAAAGAAATACAAATACCCAAACTAATTGGAACAAAAGAAGAATTCTTTCCAAGAAGAAAAAAACCAAAATAAAAAATATCAAGAAATACCGAAGGATATTAAAAAAATGGAGAAAAATTAAAAAGTATAATCTACAAAGAGACGGAAGATGAAATAAAGGAAGAATTTGAGAAAAAAAAATATATATAACGAGACAGAATGAGAAATAAGGAAGTCGAAGAATTGATGTGGAATGAAAAGCAAAAGTCCTGAGAGAGAGAAAAATAAAAGGGACGATAACAAGCAATATCAAAAAGACATTAAGAAGCACGAAAAGTTGTGGAACAAGATACTGAAGTAGAGAAGAGCAAAGGAAACGATGCGGTGATGATGTTTAGTGATGAGAGATATACTGTTTCATTGAGTTGAAAATCAGTGCGACAAAGAAAAAAAAAGGTGCGCTCAGTTTGAGGCGAAAAATATAGACCAACGTGTGTGATTTATTAATAGCTCGAAAAAAGATGAATTTTTTTCCCTCTGAAAAAAATTTTTTCTCATAATTTTATTTTGCGTCCAAGTGACAAGACAATAGTGAAATATAATTGAAATTTAAGTTTACCATTTGAATATTTAAATAGAAGAACAATAAATAAATAAAAAACAAATTAAAATGAAATAAATACAAATAAAACATTTAAAAAATGCAAATAAATAAAAAGAAAACAATAGAGAAATAAAGCAATAATAAATAATAATAAAAAATAAAATAAATAAAATAATTAAGCAATAAAATAAATAATAAATAAATAAATAAGATAATAAGTGAAAACAGTGCAAAAAATTAAGTTGACTACTTATGGAATAATAATCTCAGAAGTAATAATAATTACGTCTCTCAAAAATAATTACAAATAAAATGTTTTGAAAAATAAAGACAATTTAATAAAAGTGTTACATGACAAATAAATTAAAGACAAACTCTCAAATTGATGTTTGATTCCGGTGAATTGTCATTGTTTGGAAGTGTTGCTCAAGGGATATTATAGACTCAAACGTTACAAAAAGTTATTTTCCTTTCTTATAATCATTAATTGAGCCGCATCTTTGAAATTCTCCACACGTGCTGCTTCAATTTCCTTCTTTGAATGCTATACTAATTGAAAGCAAGGGCAAATTTTTGTCTTTTTATTTTATTTCATATATGAAGAAAGAGAGAAAGAAATATTTTTCAAACAACTTTTCATCAAGTGGTTAAAGAGGAATTAGAGACTGAAAAAAGAAAAAGATTTTTCCATTTGTGTGCGATTTTTTAATGAACATTTTGTGTTTTTTACGACAAAAAAGTGAATGTGCAGAATTATCTTTTAGTATTTTTTAACACTTTCGAAAAGGAAGTGAAATATTAGGACTACCATGTTCGAGGGTATTATTAATAACAAAACATGTTTGAAAGAAGTATTGACTATGAATCATGTTTAAATGAGAGATTAGTATCGAACATTATCAAAGGAAATATTGAAGTCGAAATTTTTTTATAAGAACATTAGTGACGAACATGTAATAAAACATTGATATTAAACATGTCTTGAATCAATGTTGTTATCTAACAAGCCGAAAAGGAACATTAATGTCGAGAATATTCAAGAGGAGCATTAATACCGAACATGTTTAAAAGGAACATTAATATCAAACATGTTTAAAAAAAAACATTAATACCGAACAATTTTAAGAGTAATATTGATGAAGAACATGTTTAAGAGTGACATTAACATCGAACATGTTCGAAAAGGACATTAATGAAAAGCATGTCCAAAAGGAACATCTGTATCCAAAATCAAAAAAATCATCCCAAATCTGCGAGTAGAACATTAATGTTGAACATATCTAAAAAGAACACTAGTGTTAAACACTAGTGATAGATTATATCCTAAATGGAACATTTCCAAAAGAAAGAATAAATGTAAAAGAATTTTAAATAAAAAAAAATAAAAAAAGAAAGTTCTCTAAACAAAGCATTAATGTTAACTATTTTGTCAACATTTTTGAAAAATACACACAACTTAAAAAATACGTCGTAAAGCAAATACGTCGTAAGTGATAAAAAATGTCGGATGTATAAAAAAGAACATTAATATCGAACATGTTCGAAATGGGCGATAATATATTTTGGTGGAACATTTAATCGAACAAGACGATTAGTTGAAAAAGTACAATATTCGATACGTCCGAAGGAATCACTAACATAAAACATGTCTTAAAACATAAATTACGAACATGTCCAAAAAGAATCGTAATTTTTAAACATGTTCACAAGAAACGATAATTTACACCTTGTTCAAAATGAACAATAATTTTCGACATGTTCAAGAGAAGCAATAAATTTCTCCATGTTCAAAATAAACAATAAATTTACCCATGTTAAAAAGAAACAATGTTCAACATGTTTGTGGGTAAAACCTTCATTTTAATAATCTTCAAAGGAAAAAAAGTACGTTAAACGTATTTACAGCAAACACTCTTAATTAGAACATGTTAAGTACATTCGTCAATGTTTACAATCAAAGAAAAATTTACTAAATTATTTAAATACAAAAAACAAGTGATATAGTGAATAATCAAATTAAATTTTGAAAACACAAACAAAAAAAATCATGATGAATGATTCGTTGATAAACTATTCTCCAACTATTGAGTTGAGGAATAATAGTCCAGTTGAACAATATGTAAAAACAATTGTCGATGAATATCGTGATCCAATGTATATTGTCCTGCCGATAACAATTATTTATGTTATCATTTTTTTCACCGGTTTAATAGGTAATATCTCGACTTGTGTTGTGATCTCAAAAAATAAATCAATGCACACAGCAACAAATTATTATCTCTTTAGTTTAGCTGTTTCTGATTTATTACTATTGATTTCCGGTTTACCATCTGAAATGTACACAATGTGGTACAAGTATCCTTATGAATTTGGTGAAATTTTCTGCGTACTCAGCGGTTTAGCTGCTGAAACATCAGCAAATGCCACTGTTCTCACCATCACGGCCTTCACTGTTGAAAGGTAGGATATAATTTCTTTTCGTGTTTATTCAATTTATTAAATTAAATTAACTAATTAATTAATTTTATTATTATTAACTTATTATTTTATTTATTAATTATTATTTAATAATTATTAATAGTAATAAATTTAAATCAATTTAAATAATTTTAAGAATTTTAATTTACTTGTTTATATTTGCTGAAATATTATACCGAGAGAAAAATTTTATTTAATCCAAATATAATTTATCTGATTTAAATAAATGTAAATATATGTAATCAAAAAAATAAATAAATAGAAAAATTAATTAGGTAATAATTAAATTTTGTAAAATAAGTTACAGAAATAAAAAATTAAAAGAAAAAAGCCGGAAAAAAGAAATGAATGGTACCTACAATATTTTTTCTAATTTAAATGCAGAATAATAAAAGAATAAAATATAAAATAATAAACAAATAAAATAAATAAAAAAAATTAGTATAAAAACAAATAAATAAATATAAAAATAACTTAAGAATAAAATATGTAGAATAAATTAAATGAAATAAAATAAAAAACCCGAAACACAAAATATTTAAAAAGTTTACAATATATAAAATCGAAATAAAATTTCGCAAATATAGGGAAAGGAGCTCTTTTAAAAAAATATTTTTTGCAAATTGAAAAAATATATTAAGCGCAATGTTTTATCAACTAAATTTAAGATGCTTTTAAATTTATTATTTATTATTCTTGAGGCACAAATTTTTAAAAAAGAAATTCGTAATTTTATATTATACATATATACTTTCCTCTTTTTTTTCTAAATAAAGAGTCGTAAAGTGTTTACGAAATTTACTCGCGAGCTGGAAAATATGTTTTTTTTGGATACTCTACAAAATTTGCAATTAGAATGTGGCCGTGTCATAAATAAAAAAGGCTTTTGGGTATACACTACATAGTGTCATTTGTTATCAGAAGCTCTCCGGAAGATCAGTAGAGAAAAAGGAACTGTAAATTAAAGAACCTTTCAAATAAATAAAGATGGGGACCCGCAGTACTCTTATTTTTTTTCAACATTTTAGCATCGTCAGGATTTCCTTTTACATTTTGATACTGTAGTATCAAAATGAAAATTATTTATTATTATTTATTATAATAATTTAATTATTTTTTATTAATTACTTTTTACCTTTAACAGTAAATTTTTTATTTTGTAAATAAAAGAGTATTTTGAAAATGTCTAATTATGATTTTCTTTATTTTATTTATTAATAAATTTCCTGTAGTCCTTATTATTTAAGGGAAGACTTCGGCAACATTTTTAATTAAATCAAGAAAATGATTTAAATACCTATTACACAAAATTATTTTTAAGGTAATTTGTGAGAAATTTAATGGTCAAAAAATAAAAAATGTCGGAAAATATTTTAACCCTTTATGAAATTTTTTTACTTAAAAATCAGTAGATTTCAAAATCCTTGCGTATTTTTGTAGAATATGTTTTTGAATTCACAAAAACATTGATAAATGAAAAAATTGATTTTCATAATTTTTGAAGCATTTTTTTAAATTGTTTGTTTTTAGGCTCAAAGTGCTAAAAAATACCATTCTTATTCAATTTTATTATTTAAAAATTCATTTGTTTATTTTTCAAACTAATTTCAGACCATATTTTTAAAATACTTTTTATTTTTTATAATTATTTAAAAAATATTAGCTGAAATTAGTTAAAAAAATAAACAGATTAATTTTCATACGTATAAAATCGAAATTATTTTGCTTTTGCATCTCAAATTTTTTTTAAACATTTTTTTTCTTTTAGTACTCTTTGAAATGAGCTACCTTTATTTTTTTCAAATTTTTTCATAAAGCGGTTCAGAAGATACAGATTTTTGAAAAATGACATTTTTTACGTAAATTTTTTTTAAATGCTTATAACTCGGTCAAAAATTGATCAAATTTGACGTTTTTATAATGAAAAGTTTTGTTTTCACGCGTAGTTTTTAATAAAAATATATTTTTTTAATTTTAAAATAATTGACGATAAGATTTAAAAATTTTTAAAATAAAATTTTATTTTTAACAATGTATGTATCGATCAATTTTTTCAACATTTTTTGTAAGAAACTAGCACTAAATTAACAATTTTTAAGCCTTGTCCGATCGTGGGCAAACGATGGGATCTATTTATTTTAAAATTTTTAATTTTTATATACGCAGTGGAACATTTAAATCTTTATACAATTTTCACTTAACTTTGCAAGTAAATTTTTCGAAGTTTGCAAGTAAATCTTTAATAAATTTTTAGAAAAGTTTCGATGCTGTGTGGGTAAATTCCTCACAAAAAATTACATTAAAAATAATTTTGTGGATTATATAAATTATTTTCTTGATGTAGTTAAAAATATCGATGTACCCTCCACTTAATTACTTATGAAGATACATTTTTGTTACTTTTATTTAATAGAACTGGAAAATTAGAATAAATAGAATTAGGAATTAGGAAAAATCCACTGGCACTTAATTTGAAGTAATTTAATTACCGAATAAATCATAGATTTTCAATTTAATTTCAATAAAATTACAATTAGTTCAATTTGTTTCAATGGTAAAATCTTCAGTTTTTCTTTTTTTAAGGGGTTACACCACTGTAAATGCCTCAAAAACAACGTTTTTTCAGGAATTTTTTTTGAATGGAAGAAAATGACATATAGTTATAATGTTTTAGGAAGTTATTGACTGTATATTCAAGTAAAAAATTACAAATTTTTATTAATAAATATTCCAAAATGGCGGCACAGGAACCATTTTAGTAATGAATATTTTTTCCCAGGAGCTCTACGGCAAGCAGTATAAGTAATGTAAATTTCAGTCTAGAAACAAATAAATTTTTTTTCTTAATCTACATGAGAATAGCTACAGAAATACGTAGGGGATTTTAAAAATATTGATTTTTGTGTAATTGGCAAGCATTTGAAGAAAAAACTCATTTTTCGACCAAAAAAAACGACACTTAATTGTTTATAACAATTGTGTAAATTAACTTATCAAAAAACCCCTACGTATTTCTGTTCAAAATTTAATTTTAGAAATGTAATAAAAAAACCCGATTGAAAATATTGAAAATTGTTTGAGTTATACTGCTTGCAGATTTCAAAAACTGTGTTTTGAGAAAAACGCGTTAAAAGAGCAACACTACTACAGCGGGCTGTAAGAAGCATTTGTTCAATAATTTTTTTTTAGTGTAAGGAAAGAAAATACAGTAACAATATTTTAAGTAGTTATTAGCTTATATATTCAACTTAAAAATTACAAATTTTAATTAATAAATATTCCAAAATGTCCGCACTGGAGCCATTTTTGTAATGCATGTTTTATGTAAGTTAAAATTCTTCTCCGGTAAAAAAGCTTGAAATTTCAATTAAATCGATTTCAGACATGTATTAAATCCTTTTTTTCCTTATTCTAGAAGGTTCAAAAAATTTTTTAAGCTAATAAAAAAATAAAAAAAATTTTTTAATGTCTACAGTGGTGTAACCCCTTAAATCTTTCACCTTATTTCAGTTTTTCCTTTCTGGTTTTTCTATTTTTCTCCATTTTAAAAGTTGCTTTCTTTTTTAATTTTTTTTTCTTTGTTGAGATTTTTTCAGTTTTTCTACATTTCTCTATTTTCAAGATCTTTTTTCTTTTTTTAAAAACTCATCAACTTTTCCATTATGTACTTTTTAGAAAACAACTTTACAATTTCTCACCTTAACTTTTTTCTGCCCAACGGAAATAAATATTCTGACATAGAAAACTGTGTTGGAAAAATAAATTTAATAGTGTCAAAAAATCGTGTAAAATTGTCATGTTAATGATTGAATTTTTATAACTGTTTTGCCACTCATTCACCCTTCGAAAACTAAATATACAATCTATCTTTTCGATGTCAGAGAGGAGAAAAAATTAAGTAGGAAGCATCTGAGATACTATTACTAAATAGCTGTAAAAATACATATCGTGTTTTTAAATTGTCAGAGAGAGAGAGAGAGAGAGAGAGAGAGAGCAAATAAAATTATCAAAATCGTTTGTTTTGTATCGGAGAGGAAAGATTTATTACATAATTGTCAAATTTGAACACTTTTCGGAATGAAAATAATTTTAAAAATTTAAATATACAATAAATAAATAATTATTTACGCAGTTTTTTTCTGTAGATTTTAAGATAAATCTTTCTTATTGAATCATAAATTAAAATAAAGTTTTAGTAGAAAAAAAAGAAAATTATAATTATGCAGTTAAATATTTTCTTTTAATAATGTGTTACAGATACGTGGCCATTTGTTATCCATTCATCTCGCACACAATGTCGAAACTCTCGCGAGCTGTGAAATTTATTATGGCAATATGGCTATTGGCATTTTGCTTGGCAATACCGCAGGCAATGCAATTTGGTATTGTCGAAGACGATGGAAATGAAGAGAAAACAAGATGCTCGATCAAAAGAAAGTTGTTGGAGCACGCCTTCGAAATATCGACCATGTTACTGTTCGTTGTCCCCATGACTGTCATTACAATTCTTTATATTCTCATAGGGGTCAAACTGCGAAGGTCAAGGCTACTCTCTTCTGTGAAGAGGACACCAATTGCCGGGGGTCTCAATCATTACGACTCGACGCGCGGCAAGAACAGCTCGCAGAGAAATGTCATTCGTATGCTGGGTGAGTATAAAATTGGACAAAGAAAAATATTCCTTGTGTACTACACACATTTATATACATATAAAAATAATATTCTATAGAGAGAAACATGTTTATCCCTATCTCCATTCTTCCCCTTATTATTAGGGGAAAAAATTAGTCGCTTCTATTTCCGGGTTTATTTTCAATATTTTTCATCTAAATAAGAGAATTATGGAATAAAAGTCAATTGTCAAAAGGAAAACGAAAATATGACGAGCCCTTTCTTTCGCTTGAGCTCCTCTTTCTCCTGGCAGCACACTTTCCCCCTCCCGCGCGCCAGTGGCCAATCGGCGCGACGCGTCGTTCGAGTATAAATACGGTCGCGCCGTGCCTTTCCGAGCCATTATATCGGTGGTAGTCGGTGGCTCCCAGACGTTAATCATCTTTCTCCTTCGAATCATTTTTCCTTTCAATCGATAAAAAATAGAAATGAAAATTCTATCTTGATTAAAAGAACTCGTGGAGTATATATTTTGTACACAATAACTGGTTACGATTAAAATAATTTAAATCACACTCGTATCGAACATTCCAGAAGAATCGACTGACTCATTAAACCGATTATGGAAATAAAAAAGACCCACTTAACCTGTACTAACCCAAACTCGTCTCCGATCAAGGACACTGATTTTTATACCCGTCTATTTAGAGTAGATTGCTATATTTGCCTCCCCCGCTCGAAAATGTATTAATTACCCTGAAAAATTGTCTACATTTTTTTAATTCCTTTCTTTGAAAATTTTTGCTTGGCAAAATAATTCTTTTCCGATTTTTTTGTAACGTTTTTCTCTCAATATAATTTATAGAAGTCAATAATTAGCTTTTATCGAAAGGAACAGTTTGTACAATTTTTTTTTATGTACACGTTAATGATCTAGTAATAACAAATCATCTGGTTCGGAATTTCTTTCTCCTTTTTTTGAAATGTTGAGCTAAACTTGAAGGATGGATCACCTTTCCTATATAATGAATTCGTCGATTTCGATTCTAATGGAGTGGGGTTTGGTTGAACCTGAAACCCCCTTTGATTGACATTTTAACTACGATAATTCACCTCCTTGCTTCTGTATGATTAACGAATAATGCGAGAGAGAAAAAAAGTGAAATATTTTACAATATTTCGAATTAATATTCAGTAAATATATATACCAAAAATTCCTGTAAAAATATAATTAATAATAACAATAATAATAGATAATTAATATTTAACTAGATAAATTTTTAATTTTTACAAGTCTGTTTATTGGAGTAAATGAATAATTTAATATTAAATAAATAAAAGTACAAAAAATTAAGTGAATGAAAGTAAAAATAATAAAATTAGGTAAGTAAGGAAAATTAAAAAACAAAATAAGGTAAATAAAATTAAACATGTATGAAGAGAAAAGTAAAAAAAGAATATAAATAATTACTAATTAATTAATACATTGACATAAAAATCAGTAAAAATTAAATGAATTAAAATAATTAAAATAAATATAAATACAAATATACAAAATAATTTGAATTTCCTTTCTTTAATTTAGACTTTCGTATATTTTTTAAACTTTACTAATAACCAATTCTTACAATTTCGCTTGAATAGAAAATAAAATAAATTCCCCGCAAATATTTTAATAAAAGGAGAAATAAATAATATCGTGGATTAAAGTTTAGAATAAATTTCCACTTGGCAATTTTCTCTTATACAATGTGCATTTCACATTGATTTTCAACGTATTGAAATACCCCCGTGGCAGACAATATTCTCTAATGAAATAACCAATATTATATATACATTTGAAATGCCGGATTAAGAAAACTTTGAAATTCTCATAATCCTGGGAAATTTTGGGTTAATAAAATATTTGTAGAATTTGAAATTTACAAAGTTTTCCTTTAATTTCACTGGAACGATAAATTTTCCCGAAAAACATAAAATTGTTTGGTTGAGTGGAAATGGAAGGATAAAATAATTTTCGTTGCTCGTGTATCGCAAGTCAAGCGAAAGAGAGAGAAATTAGGAGAGTGGGGTTAATTCTGTCGAGAGAGGGGATGAGGTGACGCTTGTTTCTCATCTCTATTTCACTTGCACTCATTTCCCCCACTCCAATGCTTTATCAACAACGCTCTTGACTTGCTTTCTACATTTCCAAATCGTGCATTAAAATTATAATCAAATAAATTTGAATTGACTTTGGAAGTAAATTTAATTTATGTAAATTACTTTAATTCTTATTATTTTTAATAAATAAAATTGATATTAAAAAAAATGAATTCTCCTTTTGGTAAAATATTACTTGTCTCAGAGTTTCAAAATCGTTTATTTATTATGAACAAAGACATTTATTATTTAAATATAACATTTTATATTTAATAAAAATAATTTTTATTTTTATTGTAAATAAATTTCAATATTTATTTATTTTTAAAAAATAAATTTTTCTCTGGGAAAAAAATTGCCAGATCCTTTTTTGGATTACTGCGGAAGTAAAAAGAAAACACCGAATTGATATGTACAATTCGTTTCGTCTTCTCTATAACACGTTTGTAAGTAATACTACTTTTTATCAAGAAATATTTATCTGGAATTTTTTCCCCCTTCAAGATACAAACGATCGATTAAAATAAAAAGAAATGCACATTTCTTTCTCTCAAATGCAGCATGACGAGACTTAAATTCGAAATTAAAGTATAGTAATGCGTAAAATAAAAAATTCTGGATTGATTACTTATACGATATAAACTGTTGGCGGGGAAAAAAATCATGTATGTAAATGACATTTCATTTTTCAAAAGATCTATATAAAAGGCTGATCTGTTCGTAAATTGATATCCAATATATTCGAAGCGCGCACTTTATTAAACGTTTACCTTGGGACTACATACAACAAGTGGGTCCAATGGATGAAAAACCGGTTGGATTCAAGAATTTGTCTCGAGATGATGAAAAAAGTAAATATTATTATATAAAACACATCAGCGTCGTTAAAATTTTTGCTATATAATTGCCAGAAGTCAGATCTGCCTCCGAATCAAAAGAAAAAAGTCGTAAAAATAATGTAGTTTAGAAAAAATTTTTTTTGACTAATTTAAAGATTCTTTTGAAAAATTTTGATCTTTTACTATTTATAATATTTACTTGACAATTTTATCATTATTTTTTTTTGTTAACACCGTTTTTTAAATATTTTAACAAAAATGCCTAAATACTTATTTCCTTTTTTATTATAAAATTACCTATTTATTATTATTTTAAAATTTATTTCATTATTTATTCTTATTTACTTTTTGGTTATTATTACTTTTTATATTTAGTACATTATTCATTATTTTTATTATTACATTATTTATTATTTTTATTATTAAATTATTTGCTAATTATTTGATATTCATTTGATATTTATTTTGATACATTATTTATGTATACTATTTACATTTTTAAAATACTGTCTTCAAAAAGAAGATTATTATAACCACAATAGAAATTGAATTTAAAAAAAAGAAGGGCAAAAAAAGTTGTTTTTATCCTTTATCAAAGCAATCACTGCTCTCGGCGATATTATCGCACCCACAAAGGAATTAAAAAAAAGTATATATCTAAAAATATTTTCTCATTGTAATCGAGAAAAGGTAGGCGCAAGAAAAGGGCAAAAAAAAGCACAAGAGTCGTTTTTCAGATTACCGGAAACACTGAGTTTCCAATTAGTCAATAGAGGAGAAAAAAGTGGATAATAAATGATTCTCATAGGATATGTTTAGCTCGACACTCCGAAGGAAATTGGGATTTAAGAGAGGGGTCTTAACGCATTGCGTAAGTGTGTGTATATAGTCTCCAAAAAGCAAACCGGAAGAAAACATTTCAAACGTTAATTTCCCGATTTATTTATTACCTGCTTCTATCATTTGTAAAAGAATAAATTCTCCTTATTTTTTTATGATGATTAATTTATCGTCGTTTACGAGATCGTTAATTCGAGAATAATCATATATAAAATAGCACCTTTTAATGGCGGTGAGAGGGAGGGGGGGGGGGAAGTCTGCCTCTCATTTGTCATTTCTTTAAGAAATTGTATAGATGAGAGATCATTTAGTCAAGTTAATGTAAAATTAAATCAATTCTATATCTTTTAAAGAAAAAAGAAGTTTATTAAGAGTTTTAAACTTGTTTTTTTAAATTTGTGACTATAATTCAGTGTAAAATAATTATTATTATTACTAATTACTTATGTAATTTTTACCTGAATTTTATTTTTCTTGAAATTGTTACATGTTTTATAAATATCACGGAAATTCTTTAATTTTTACTTAAGTTTTTTAATATTGGAAGTTAATTTTTACAGAACGGTTTTGTAATTGTTACAAAACTTTTGAAACTCTCACACAATTAAAAATAATTTCAAAAAAACTGGGGGTTGCTAATCCCTATTGAAAACACCCACATGGGATCCAACATAGGATCTTACGTGGGTTCTTATACAAAAACCTGTATAAAATCCCAGGTCCCACGTAAGAATCCACATGGGATCTCATGTTAAAGCACATGCATATTTGGGACACGATTTGGAGTAGGAATTCATGTGGGAATTTAAGTTTGTGTGTCCACATAAAAATCCACATGGATTCCTATGTGAGAACACATACAGGATTCCATAAAGGATAATATATATAATATATATATATAGTGTTCAAAAATCATGTTAACAGGGGGAGAAGTCGCTCTCGACACCTGGCGGTGAAAGTATATAAACTGTGGTATTTTGTATCATTATTAAAAAAACCACGTGAGATCCTATGTAAGATCCCATGTGAAAAATTATATTGGAAATAATATACGATCTCACCTGGGAATTCATATAATTTTCATTCCTGTGTAAAATCCCACGTAAGATCCCATATATGGTTTCATATGCGGGAAAGAACATGGGATCTTACGTGGGATTTTACACAGGAATGAAAATTATATGAATTCCCAGGTGAGATCGTATATTATTTCCAAT